GAGGGGAGGGCGTTTACTTTCGTTATTCGCCGCCCCAGGCCAACGGTAGGTAGGAGAATACAATGCTGGCCCACAGTCACAACAGTGAACAAGGGTGACTGAGAGAATCGGTCTGACAGTAATATACAGGGTTACAGCTGGCCCTGTGCGGTAGTATATGGCGAGAGGGGGGCAGGAATAAAATAGATCCGACTTGTTACAAATTAGAAAAAGTGACGATTAGAGGGGTAAGGTAAGAGCAGCTTGATTGAAGGTGCCTGTCAGGGTCGCTGATCGTGGCCTTCACTCATCCCAGCAGACGTAACCCGTGCCAGATAAGAATCTTCCAAGTGTTCGTAGGCGTGAAGGCTGCTAGGAAGTATAGCTCCTTTCGGGTCGCGCTGCGGAGGGCGATATAGGAACGGGGACGCCCCGCTGAATGGCGGACGTCGTAGGAGGTATAGCGAAAACACGGTTTTGCGCTCTTGGAAGGGCCGGAGTGAACTATCTTCATGAGGCACCGGGGGTAACGGCACGCAAATAAAGACACACTTGCGTCCCTGTTGCAGGCAGAAAAAGTGTGCTGTAAGAGCCGTGCTACTGGCAACAACGATAACGGGTTAGATGTTCATGCTGTGAACTTGCTAGTCAGATTAGCTTGTCGCACGAATGATGCCAATGTTACCCAACGCCTTCGACCGCTTTTTCGACTACAGTGGCAGCTGGTGACAGGCGGGGCAGCAATGTGATGCCAACGCTGGAGGGAGCGAGGGGCACGGGATTGGCACGCGGGGTTGGGGCCAAACCAGCCAGTTTATTCGCATTGGGTAGCAGCCGTCTAGCGGCGCAGACCGGCGCAGGGTGGTATTTGGGCGCCTTCTAGGGACAGACAACACGTTTCGCCCAAGCCGTCTAACTGTCGACGCGAAATACAGGCGAGTGTGGCCGAGAAATCGCGGACGTAGCGGGCGCAAAAGGGCAAGAGCCAGACGGCAGTAGCGGGCGGGGCGCGAAACCAAAAAGATGTCGGGTGGGGGACAAGGTGGGAGAAGAGAGTGGTAACATAATTTCGGAGGCGACACTGAGGCGACGGAAGAGGAAATAGGGAGGACAGGAGGGAGTGGTGGAGGAAGGGGAGTCGACAGGTAAATATAGCAAGTAACAACATTTAAAAAAAACACGTCATAAGTTTGCAGGTTTAATTTGAGTGAGGTTCGACGTAAACTTAAGAGGATACAGATGCGTGTTCCAAACGCTAATCTTTCTCGACGATATAACATACAAATACTCTTCATCCATAAATCAAACTACCTATAGTGACAAAATAACTCTAGTTGCATCCCATTGTCGAACTGGCGGTTCTTGGCCTAAACCCATATAAGAAAGAAGTGAGAAACTGGCAATTCCTGGCGCAAACGCGACCGTTGCCAAAAAGATCAGACTCGAATGGTGAGCGGTGACGTCACATGGTGTTATGAATCTTTGATGCGACTAGCGTACCACTGATACGCTGAATCGGCGCGGCACCGCTGCCCGGTTGCTTGATGAGGGAGCTCGCAGAGAGAGAAACTAGTAATCAAAATCGACAAAGATCGATAATTGCATACCAACATTGGAGGTATTTTCAAAATACCTTTTATAAGACAACGTGCAGTGAAATGGGAGGAACTAGAGTTTATTTTGTCATAAGGTAGTGTGATTATGCATGCCACGATGTATTTGCTAGTCTAGTACTGGAGAAATTAGCGTTTGGATGCGCATAGTGCGGCTTTAAGACATTTGTGCGACAGAGAAATTTAGCGTACTTGGCGTACCAAAGAAGTTATTAAGTGCAAAAAGTTGTCTTTGCTTACTACCTGGAAATTGCCATAGTATGTTCTATAGCCCTGCGGCAGAGCAGAGGGCTATAGTTCTAGAGCTATTGTTATGCGGTCATAAAAACACTGGGCTGAACTACATGCCGGCGATGCCGCAATCGATTTCTTAGACTGTCGCGAGTTTTTGTTCGTGTGGCGAATCATGCGTTCATGCAGCTCTAGATGTTTTGGATACCCCGTCTACGTTGAGGAACGGGTCGTATTATGCGCTCCCGTTTAAAGTCTGTTTAAACTGCCGTTGCGCTAACCGTAGTATTTCATCGTAATATGAGGGTAAAAAGTGCCGGTCAGGAGGACCGGGAGTTTCGTAGAGATGGTGGCCCGAGCAAAACTTTTAAAATTTTTGCTCTCGTAATTGCTGTTACCAGAGTGCTTTGAAAGCTGACGGGGGCGAAATCACTTGCCGCTCCCGTGTATTTTTTTGGCTGCTGCGTATTCGTTATACACTGTGGCTGTGCGACCTCACCTGTTCCCGACAATAATTCATAATAAACCTATTGTCCTATAGACCTATATTGACTGGAATAAAGTATAACTTTTGTAAACATCAATTTAGATGTGGCCAGGTTACTGCCTACTGGTACAGGAGCCATATATTCTTAAAATCAAAATTAAACTATTGCTTCCTCACGCCAAGTTTAGTTATTTGGTTTCCTCATCGAGTATATGGTACAAAATCCATTTGAATTTATTACAGAAACATGGCACTTCTTACCGGATGGCGGTATGGAGCATTCATTGGTGGTGTTGTTGCTGTACTAGGTCTTGCATTGTACCCTGTTGTTGTTGATCCATATCTACGTCCGAAAAAGTGGAGTAAGTCTTTTCTAAAAAGTTATTAGTAAGCACAGCTTTTTAGAGGGCATTTCCACTGAGTAAATGCTACTCTAATCTTACTTGTCAAATAATTTTATAAGTAAACTAAATAATTGAACATTTCTGTTCCCTAAATGAGCAATGCACAATATTATAATCGCTATTTGAAACTGCTTACCCCTGAAATACAAAATTTATCTACTCAAAGTAGTGTTTTGTGCAAGCATTTCGTGCATAAAGACATTTTAATCACATATATATCCAACACCTGATAACTTTCCTTCGTTCGCACCATGCGTTCCGATGTTTACATCGATAAAAGCGTCCAACACTTTTGTGTAGAGTGGTATTGGTAATGCAGCTCCATTTGTAGGATATGACATAAATAATGGTTGGCCCATTTGGTATACCGTACCGTTGACTTGTAATATTGGAACTTAAGTGTAGCATGATAACAGAGTACAGGTTTCAACAGGTTGAAAATGGTGGTGGATGTTTTTATTGCGATATTTGCTAACCATCCACTAGGGAATTTACAAGTTGTTTCCGAATAACTCTGCAAAATCTGATTGGTTATTCAAGATACGTGTCTTTGGCTCTTGTGGAAAAAGTATCTGTTGTGTTTACTAACTAAGATTCTATTGTTATTTTTAAGTTTAATAATTGTCCTAAAAATTCCTAAATATATTTCAACCATTTTAAGTATTTTTTGTAATTTATTAATCATTCTTTATTGCAGGAGACATCCAGAAAGAAACAAGGCAGGGTGTAAAAAGAGAAACAATTCAACCTGGAGGTATGACACAAGCTAGTAAACAAAAGTATTAGCAGTATCAGACACATAAAAACTTACTAGCCATTGTATTCATGTTACCAAAATATTGATGTATAATGGCATCACGGTGGTTTAGTAACCTGCGACTTCAGGTTATTCTTTGTAACCAAAAGTGTATTGGATGGACGGCCAAGGATGTATGGACAAGATCAGTATATAGCGTGACAGGAATTTGGGAAAATGAATTAACAAGAGATGCGAAGCTAAAGTTGGAACGTCATTGGCGAGAAGCCGTCACCAAAAACACAGCTTCCACGTATGATGGCGACAAACAAAAATTCTATGTCCTGTCAATGTTTCCGTACCCTTCCGGAAAACTACACATGGGCCACGTTCGGGTGTACACAATCAGTGACACAATGTCCCGGTTCTACCGGATGAACGGTAAGCATGTGATACACCCAATGGGTTGGGATGCGTTCGGTCTGCCTGCGGAGAATGCTGCTATAGAGCATGGGGAACTGCCTGATAAGTGGACGTACAGAAATATAGAAAGCATGCGGCAGCAGCTGAAAGATCTTGCCTGTAACTTCGACTGGGACCGAGAGGTTGCGACGTGCGACAAGGAGTACTACAAGTGGACGCAGCATCTCTTCCTGATGCTGTATGAATCTGGTCTCGCGTACCGCAAACACGCCCCCGTTAACTGGGATCCTATTGACGAGACGGTGCTGGCCGATGAGCAGGTAGACGAAGAAGGCAAGTCGTGGCGGTCAGGGGCAAAGGTCGAGAGACGGCCACTGCGGCAGTGGTACATAAGGACAACTGCCTACTCGAAGCAGCTGCTGGATGGGCTGGACACGCTCAAAGATTGGCGCGACATCGTTAACCTGCAGAAGCACTGGATCGGCGAGTGCAACGGCTGCAACATCGACTTCCGTGTCGAACTCGACGGCGAAGAGCTAGCCGATGGCTTGACTGTACACACGCTGCATCCAGAAATGCTGTTCGGCGTGTCGCACATCTACGTGAAGTCGGAGCATCTGCTGAATGACGCGCGGTGCCGCGGCGGCGGTGGCGGTGGTGAGAATCGTCTGAAGGCGAGCGCGGTGCATCCGTTCACGCGACGACGCATCCCGATCTTCGCGACGGACAACGCGTCGTACGAGGAGCACTGCGACGCGCGGCTCGCGATCCCGTGCTTCGTACCGGACGACCTCGACTTTTCGCTGCGAGCCAACGTGAAGTTTGTCAACGTGCTCGGCGCCGATGACGACGGCAACGTCGTGCTTGTTAACTCAGCGGAGTTCTCGCGCATGCCGCTGGCGGCGGCCCGTGACGCAATCATGCTGGGGGCGCGCGAGCGCCGCTGCGGCGGCTTCCCGGCGAGCGCAAAGCTCCGCGATTGGTTAATCTCTCGTCAGCGCTACTGGGGCACGCCGATCCCGATCGTGCACTGCCCGAGCTGCGGCGCCGTGCCCGTGCCCGCCGCCGACCTCCCGGTCGAGCTCCCCCGTGTCACGAAGTTCGACGGCAAGGGCGGCTCAATCCTCGCCGGCGTTGCCGACTGGGTGAACGTGGCGTGTCCGCGGTGCGGCGGCGACGCGCGTCGCGAGACGGACACGATGGACACGTTTGTCGACTCGTCATGGTACTACCTGCGCTACCTGGACGCAAGCAACGCGACCGAGATGTGTGGGCAAGACACGGCGCAGCGCGGCATGCCCGTCGATCTGTACGTCGGTGGCAAGGAGCACGCTGTCATGCACCTCTACTACGCACGCTTCATCTGCCGCTACCTTCACGACCGCGGCGTCGTGCCGCAGCCGGAGCCGTTCGTCACGCTGCTGCCGCAGGGCATGGTGATGGGTGAGAGTCACCGCGTGAAGGGCACGGGCCGCTACCTCGCGCTCGACGAGGTCGACGCATCAGACGCGCGGCGCCCACTCGAGCGCAGCACGGGTGCCGCCGTCGTCACGCGCTGGGAGAAAATGAGCAAGTCGAAGCGCAACGGCGTGGAGCCGCGCGATGTTCTCGCCGAGTACGGTGTTGACTCGACGCGTCTCATCGTGCTCGCCGACGTGCCGCCAAAGTCTCACCGCCGCTGGTCGCCTCACACGTTCGTCGGCGTGCTCAACTGGCAGCTGCGGCTGTGGCAGCTAGTGACGGCGCTGCGAGCGGCGCGGGCGCGCGGCGACGCCGGCTGCACGCTGGCCGCCGCGGCGGCGCAGCAGCGCGAGGCGGCGCTCGCCGACAGCCGCAACTTCTACGTGCGTGGCGCCACCTGGAACTTCCGGCAATCGTTCAACCTCGCGATGGTCGTATCGAAACTGCAGGGTCTGACGGGCGACCTGCGGAAGGCGGACGCCGAGGTGGTGCGCTGCGGCGTGGAGTACGAGCGAGCGCTGTGTGCGCTCGTCATCATGCTCGCACCGATGGCGCCACACCTCGCGTCTGAGCTGTGGACGGGCATCGCGTCGGTCGCGAGCGGAAGCAGCGCGTACGACTGGAGCGTTGGCGTGCTCGAGCAGCCGTGGCCGGAGGTCGACATGCATCACAATTTGAATCTGGTCATTAAAGTGAACGGCAGGGAGGCCGCCACCGTGAAGGTTCCACGTCACACACTCGACACCATGAGGGAAACTGGTGCACTCGAATTAGCATTGCAGCAGGAGTCATTGCAGAAATACAAGGGGAACGTCGATAAAGTTTTCTTTAAGCTATCAGTGGGATACGAAGCAGAAATCGCGATCGTGACTCACGATGCAAAGTCAGTGAAGGACTCCCGTAAGAAAGAGAAAAATAGCTCATTAGCCCTCTAAAGTGAATTAGAGTGTACACACCTAAACATGATTGGGTGTGTAGTTTTTACACCAGTACACAATTTACGAAAAAATTTCTATTCAGAATGTTCTCATAACTCACTGTTTTGTCAAGTTATACGACCAAGTGTATTGAAACCAAGTTTATATTGCATGAACCTGTGGGAAGATTAGTGTTTATTATAAATAAAACCAATTATAACAGGAAAAAATAGTATAAATGTGTTTTTATCTTCTTGTTTTGCAGGGATGAATGTATGGACTGATCCATTTAAGAAGAAAGGTGCAGAGGATGGAGAGTAATAAACTATCACAACGTGACAATAAGAATTTCACGTAAAGCAACGTCCTGCGTATCACTGATCCAACAATTGTACACTAGAATGAGCTAAAAAGGATAATAAGGCCAATAACAAAATCGAGTAAATGTCATAAGATGAGTTAATTGATAAAAATCACAATTTTAGTTGTAACATGTTAGATGTTAAACGTTATTGCTATGGGCAGTATGTACCTTTTTTTACGATTACTCTGGAAAATCTTTCACGTGTTCTAATGATAAACTTTCACTCTACTTTGAGCTAGTTTTATAATGCTATATAATGTAAATAGAAGTTGGAATGTAACAACTATGCATGTTTACTGTATAAATTGACAGCAGCACTATTTTAATTGCATTTTACATGCATTCATTTTGCAGCAGTGAATATGTACAAAATTTGTTTCATTCGTACAATGCGAGAAGAAATAGTACACAAAATAACATGAAAATGACATCAGAGTTCACGTAAATGAGGAACAAGGGAAGATTCAATACTCCCCCCCCCCCAGGAATGCAGCATGCGTTATATAGACCCATTATATTATCCCATCCATAATTACTTTTGAAATTTTCCTTGACAATCAACATGCTCTTGATATTTTTCCCAATATCCGTCCACGCAGTCCTGGATAGTCCTCTTCGACATTGCTTATGCATGTCAATAACAGTAATTTAATTTGGGCCATTATAGGTGACCGGGACACCGAAACCTAGTCAGCAACAGTACACTCAGTGAAAACTGAGAGATGAAGCACTGCAGTTAGATCGTGGGTGTTCTGATAGTTTGGCAATTGCACACACTGACTGCAAAACTTGTTCTACTACTACAGTTCTACATTGCATAACAGACAGTGATGTTCGAACCAGATAATTGCTAATTAGATCATATAATGCAAATTACTAAAACTTTGAATGGAACGAGTGGCTGTACACAGAATGAGCATATCGGTACAAACCTTGCCTACACACGTCTTAGCTAGCACCATTTCATTAATATAATGAATAAATAATGGTTTATGCTAACACATTTGTTTGAATAAGATGCACTCAGTTTAAATATACTTTAAACAACTTTAATAGAGAAGCCTTTCTAATGCACAGTATGGTAGCTTCCATCTAACATGCTTCATCATATTAGACTGGAATGGTTCTATGTTTAATATTGAACTTGTAAGCTCTTTTCTAAAATGCCATAGACAAATTATGTTTATTTGTACTTTTGTAGTAAATACTGTACATGAATATGTCACCATTTTATCTGACCAGGAAATGTGTTTACCATTAAGTGTCCATATTCACACATTCGAACAGTTTTCTTGCAATTACTCCATGGGTTCTTGCTTATAATACTAGATATTGTCACCTATTCTTGACTACAGCAATGCGCAAGACCGTGTGTATGTACACAATAGATATTTGATAGATGACCATTTAATCTATGGCTAATTTTGAGCTTCACCTAAAACATATATCAATGACACAGATCATGAACATGGGTTTTCAAGCTACAGATTTCCTTAGACAACAGAATCTTTTTTCCGTACATAACAAAGCAAAAATTTACATTTGCAAATATATTGGCTTTTTAAAATCAGCTTTACAAATGGGAATAAAATTTCATTAGTCACATCTATTAGGTTATGATTACACAATCATAACCTAGTTCCAAAGTATTTACATACTAGTTATTAATTATTAAAACACAATGGTATGGTTTACCGAAAGCTTGAACGCATACTGTTTATCTGCAATGAGGAAATTAGCTGGCCAGGCCATAAAAGCTATACGAACATTCGACAAATCTGTACAATTCCACCAATTGGTGACAGCACCATCCAGTGCACTGCAGAAGGCAGTCTTACAAAATTAAAACTTAACAATCTTCATACCAGTTCTCTTGCAAACCACTTTTCCTGATCCTTACAAAAATTCATTTATCCAATCTGCTTTGATGGAAAAACGTCTCTATATGGCGCTCAACTTTCGTAAGAAACTACTAGATCTTTGAATGAATGATTGTGTTAATTAATGGTTGAGCACAGCCTCTCTAGCCCTCGACCTGTTGTAGAGTATTGACAAAGTCGTCAAAAACATCTGCATTCAACTCGAATGCGTCCAGTTGGAGTTTGAGATCTTCCAGCTCTGGAGTGCCCTGTGGATCATTGAATGAAGCTAAGGTGGGGGCCGCCTGACATTCCCGTATGAAGGTCGTCAACTCATTGCTGGCATCTGGCACGGCAAACGGTGCTTTCTAAAAGCATAGAGAGAGATTTTGAACATGTGGCTATCAAGCACTGACCTGAAGGCATACAACTGTCCATCAGTCAATCCTTAGCAGATGCACAATGTATTCTCATACGAATAAAACACATGTTGTGGCACGCTTACAACAACGAACTGACAGGCAACGAGCTTAGCTATGCCTCATTGCATCTTATCTAACCTACATTAATATCACAAGACCAGTAGTATAAAATCATGTCAAACTTACATTTAAATTCAATAATGTTAACAACTGACAGTTAAACTGTCGTTAACATTTAAAAACAAGTGCCGCAGAGCGACAGGGCTCATCTGGTGTCTGGTGTTCTGCTGATAAATTCATTTGTGCATAGCAAGACGTCCTATACATACGTTCATTTCTAACCCAAAAAAACAACATTTCAAACTAGTAATAAAATTCC